CACGCCCACCCAGTCACCTGGCTGGCAAGCCATTCCCACCTGGTCACATGGCCACAAGCCACTCCCACAAAGCACGTCACACCTACAGAAGAGGTTCTAAAAAATTTTGAAACCCACCACTGCTTTCAACCATTGTATTCTATAATTCCATAAATCTGCATAGAATAAGAACAAACCTTGAGGATTTGTCAGGATTTCAGAAAATAACTTATAAATTACAAAGTGCTAGTTATCAGATGTATTATGAACAGCTTAATCTCTTTCAGAACTTGTGGCTACCTCTAGCTACCTCTACCTCTAGCTCTAAAGCTCCCAAATCTTAGAAATTCATGCAAAATATTGTGGTAGTGTTTGCTTGTTTTGTGCTACAGAGCCTGAGTATCACAGTATTACCTATGCATATATGATTAGATATTTTGGCATAAGATCTTGCTGAATATCCTTCAAATTGGTTTTCTCAAAACCTCTGACAAGGTGAGGTGTCACAAATATCATAAGCATTCTCTTAGGGGTGGTTAGTTAGTTAAAGCTGCCTTGAAATAATGACACCCCATCTGGAAGGAGACACACTATTCCAGAAATGCTGTGCAGGTAAGAGATATTCCTAGAGCAAAACGCTATACGATTTCAGAATGCTCCCTATTTCCCACCTGCTGGGCGTGAATTAGGCTTTCAAGGCTCCAGTAGGTAAATGGTCCTTTTCCCAGGCGCAGGAAAATATTATTCAACCGTTGCCTCCAGTATCTTGATTCTGAACTTCACTGCCCAGCCCTGCCTTAATGATCTGCTGACATAATAATTTACTGACTACTCTATGCAGATTGTTTTAATTACTCTAAAATGCAAGCAAAGGTTGGGTTAGTAAGTCAATAAACCAATCAAGCTGCACATGTTGCTTAAGCAGGGGCAATATTTGAAGTAAGCAACTGTCTTGTGAATGATCATTGTGCTATTACATTTATCATTTACTGCCACAGATATATTGCAAACAAAATTAAAAGGGGATGTCAATTTGGCAAGAATTATTGGGCTATAATTAAAAGGAAAGCACCCGCTAGCTTCCAATCTTCCCTAAGGACATGTGAGATGGGGGAAACACATGTGGCTGTTAATTTTATTACTAAGTCGATTTTTCTTTTAATCATACTGTGAATGTTTCAATTTTTTTCTTGGCATATCATGTAAACTATTGAGAGTCATGAGATTATGGTAGTATATAAATAATAATTTAAAAAAACAGAATAAATGAATGGCCCCACAATAAACATATGTAAATGAGACAAAGGGTTAGGGTTGGAGCTAGATTTACTCATGTTTTCTCGTTTTATGCTTAGTAAAAAAGTCTCGGGTTTCCATTCTATGCTTGCCCCAGTAACCTCTTTTAGCCAGTTTTGAATCCTCCTCAGTACAGGACCACCAAATATGGTAGAATGTGCCATCCNGAAGTCTCACTCACCATCTTTTGGGCTTAAAGTGGGAAAAGAGCAGAATACAAGACCAGTGGCTGTTTATATGTTAATGCTTTATGATGTTTAAAATTAGAAGGATGTTTTCACTGTCATATAGACATGCCTAGACATCCCAGAATATATTCCTTTTCTCTCCTTTCTCTGGGCAAGGCATTTTTATGTACAGATTTATTTTAGAGCCAACACAAACTCCTTAACAACAAGCATAATCCTTCAGAGAGGTCTCTAGGGCACCAATGAGAGAAATATTTCCACAGTCCTGGAAACTGCCTCAGGGTCATTGCAGCTCCTTGGTTTGTCCTTGCCTTGGTTTTTCAGCACTGCTTCTAAGCAGCTAAAGACCAGGATTCCCTCCAAATGGTACTAGGACAGGGTGACTCCTAACTCACCACTCAGTATCAAAAAAGGCAAAAGTGCTGAACATTGTATAATTGTTAACAGCATATAAACAATCAAGCAGAAAACAACATAATAATTAAGGAACGTCCAAGGAGAAAGCATAACTCTGCCAAATTGGAAGAGCATCTTACCGTATATAAACAGAGAGCAGCAAATCCCACATTCAGTAATAGTGGTAATATTATCTAGTTGGGTAATGAAACACCTACAAGCAAACAGACAAACTTAGAGAGCACCAAGGACTCTGCAGTCCTACTCTGAGCTACATACAATATATCAGTGATAGCTAACCTTTTTGTCATCGTGTGCCGAAAATGCGTGCCCGCGCAACAACATGTGTGCCCACATCCATACTACAATGTGTGCAAAACACCCCCATGCTCTGCCCCCCCATGCCCCATTTTGCGTCTAGCAGGCTCCCTGCAGGCTCTTGGGACCAAAAATAGGCCGCAGGAGAGCGGGGCACTGCCTCCTGCACTCCCCCTACCCCCTGTGCATGTTTTCACCCCCCCCCCAGATGCACACATGTTTCCTGCATGTGCCCCACTCCCGTGCATGCATGGCAGAGACCCAAAAATCAGCTGGCTGATGGGAAGTGCACACATATGCGAGGTGGAGCTGAGGTGGGTTGACGACTTGTGTGCCCACAGAGAGGGCTCTGTGTGCTTCCTGTAGCATGCGTGCCCTCGGTTTGCCATTACGGCAATATATTCCCAGAGCGAATGGAAGTTGCGTCTCCTTGGATGACAGTGTTATAGTAGTCACATAAGGCTGGGAACACTGGCACAGGGACGGGAGGAGAGGAGAGCAGATGGAAGAGGCCAGCTTTGACTCTACTTGCCAGTTGCAGCACCAGGAACAATTTGCCAGGTAAAAAGGACTTCTTCCATTTTCAACAATGAATTAAAGAAGCAGATTTTGTCTAGACATTAGGAAAGGTTTTTTAATGGTAAAATCTCTTTGACATTGAAACATACTGACTTGGGAGCTGATTTTCTCTTCACTGGAAGTATTTAAACCCAGGTTGGATGGCCATCTATTAAGGATGCTGGTGTGCTAAATTTGTGACTTAGAGGTACATAGAGAAGGTGATCTCAAATGTGCCTTCCAACCAGGGGTGGGTTCCTGCCAGTTCTAACCTCTTCTATAGAAGAGGTTCCACAAATCTACACTGCCATTTAGAATCGGTTCCAGCTTCCTCCCCCTGCCTATCTGCACATCATCAAGATGAAGAGTGAGAGGAGGAATTCTGGGAGTTGAAATCCACAAGTCTTAAAGCTGTCAAGTTTGAACACTCCTGGGTTTTTTTCTAAAGGGTTAGGGGTGCAAGGGTCTTGTAACTTGACAGCTTTAACACTTGCACACTTCAGTTTCAGAGTTCCTGAGTCAGCATGCCTGGAGGAGGAATTCTGGGAGTTGAAGTCAACAAGTCTTAAAGCTGTCAAGTTTGAACACCCCTGGGNATATATATATATATATATATATATATATACACTGCACTATATCCTAGGCTAATGAATTCAGAAATAAAACCCAGTGCCCAAGGACAGCTTTTAATTCAGAAAACCTTATCGTCTATAGTAGAACTATTGCTCATTTGCTTCTAAAAGCCACTTCTTTACTCAGTAGAGTAAGAGTAAGCCTGAATTTGACAGCTTGCTTTTTAAAAAAAAAAAATCACACAAAACTCCATACTTCAACCAATGATACTGCACTGACCGATTTGCCAAACAAACTGAATGGATACAAAAACGTAAGAAACAATGAAGCATTTCCTTCTAAAAGAGAAAACTCACCTCTACAACAACCGATTTACGTTTGACACCGCTTCGGACTGGATGTGGTCTTCTTCTTGGGCGTTTGTTCCTCTGAGCTGGCCATGGGTGGCTCCCCGCAATGCTCTTCGGAGATTTCTTCAATTGTGTTGGCTCTTTTGCTTTGAGGAGAGGAATCTAAGGGGGGGAGGTTTTCAGGAGGGGGGAAAAATAGGGAAGGAGGATATTAAAAAGATTGATACCGGCCATCCATTACGCAGTAAAGAAGGGCAGGAAAACAGCATCACTTTGGAAGGGAATTCTTGAATCCTCCGCCATGGGCATAAAAAAAAATATATACCCAGTGCCTCCAGGCTAAGGATAAGAGTACTAGGAATTATAAAGAAGGGTCCCTTTACGGGTTAGGAATATCTGAAACCAGGCCTGTTTTGACAGCCAGGAGAGAGAAAAACAGTCGGTTAAGGGATCCCACAGCCGAGCCAAAATTGCCTTATAGGATTGTGGTGGTGGTGGTGGTTGCAGGGGAAAATAGGAGGAGGAAAATATGGTGGATGTGTTTGCCATTTGAGTTATCGGTATACATAATAATAACGGCGGGAAATAAGTAAATAAATAAAAACAAAACCTTGCAGAAAAAAAAGTTCAAAGATCTGGTCTGTGAAACCTGAAGCCCAGTTAATTCTCTCCCCCCTAACCCTCCAAAAAAGCTTCTGTAAAAATCGGTCTCTGGGAAATCGAAGGGCCCCGTTTGGCTCCCTGTTGGAGAGGAAGGTCCAAGGGCAGCGGCCCCGAGAGGAGGAGGAGGAAGAACAGCTCCGGGTCGAGCCCCACAGGGAGAAAAAGCCCCCAATGGACCGGGGATTCGCTTCCAAGCAACGCCCGGCTCGGGCATCAAAGGGCGAAAGGCGATCGTCCTCAACCCCGAGCCCTTTAGATGGCCGGAGAGCGATCAGACAAGCCGGGGAAATAATATCCCCCTTCCCTTCGGTCTGACCGTCTCCGGCCGGCGGCGGAACTCCTCCCGAGGACCAAGGTATATTACCATCGGCGGCAGGTCGCTTCCTCGGGCCGAAGCTAAGGGTTAGCGGGGCCCCGTCCTGCTGCTGGGACTCCGGTTCGGGCTCCTGCTCTTCGGCCGGTGCCTGAGCGCAGCGCAGCCCCCTAGACGGCGAGCGGTCTCCGTTGAGCTCCAGGCGCCGCTCCCGGGCGTCAGCTTTGGGCCGGGCCCCGCCGAGTCGCGGGGGTCGGCTGTAGAAGTCGGGCAGCGCCGCCCTATCCAGCGCCTGCCACTCGAAGCGGCCCTCCAGGGGATGCTCGCGCCGAAAGTCGAAGTTCCACCGCCTCCGGCCGGCCTCTTCCAGGTGGCGGCTCTGCTCCTGCCACTCGCGCGCCAGCTCCTGCCGGTCGACGGGGCCGAAGAGGCAGCGGCACGCCGAGGGCTTGGGGCCATCCGCCGGCCGGCCTTCCATCCGCTCCAGGGTCGGGCTCCCATTCGAGACACGCACTTTCGACATGGCCCGCCGCGCAGCCGGCCACGGCGCTGAGGCGGCGGCGGGTGAGGGGCTCGGCGTCCCGCTCGGGGAAGAGGAGAAGGCGGCGGCGACGACGGCGACGGCGGGCGGCCTTTCCGCTGGACCCAGCCGAGGGAGCGCTTCCCGGGCGGACAGCGCGCAGCAACCCTGCCGGCCGGAGCCTCGCATAAGCCGGGGAGGCGGGCAGCGACGGAGAACCGAGCGCGGTTCGTGAGGGGAAAACAAATCCCCGCTGAAGGAAGAAGCGGCCGCTGCTTGCCGGAGCGCTTCTCCGCAGGTCCGGGAGACGCCGCCGCCGCCTCAGACGAACGACGACGAGGAGAGAAAAGCGGCCGGGCAGACGTCCGAGGAGCCCCGGCGGCGAGGAGGAGGAGGAAGAGGAGGACCTGTTTTGGGCTCCGGGCGGCTGGCGGAAGAAGCGGAGCCGGGCTAGGAAGGAGCCCCGAGGAAGGCGGGAGGGAGGGCGCCTTCTCCGGCCCCCCGGCCCAATATGGCGATGGAAAGGAGGCTGACGGAGAGGCGAATGATTGACACGGCTCGTCTATTTAAATAGAGGCGGCGCGCCATTGGCCCGGGGAGTGGGCGCCGCCCCGGCGCAACGCTCGGCGCTCGCTCCCGCCCAGGCGGCTTTAAAGGTGGCGCGGGAGNGGGGGGAGGCCCAGCAAGACTGTGTATTTATTACCTGCAGGTGCAAAATGCTCCTTCTATCCACATTTCTCTTCTTGATCCTCCCTGCTTTTGTGGCAAATTTGACATTTCGGGGTGCCTCAGGCTGTGGAGTTATTTCAGAAATGGGTCATCTTTATAAATTGCAACTCCAGCAGGCACAAAATACAGAACTGATGTTCAGCCAAAGATACGCATTCTGGGCAACTTATTTGGAAATGAACCGCTACAGTTGCCTGATTGTTTTTTGTTTACTAGAGACATTTCTGTGCTTTTAACTCCCTTAAATCCTGATCTAGGTTTAAATAAAAAAATCTCTAGATGTGAACGTCCTTGATGTATTAAGAGCCAGTTTGATGTAGTGGTTTTGAAACCAGGAAGACTATGAAACCTGGAGACTGTGAATTCTAGTCCCACCTTAGGCCCGAAAGCCGGCTAGGTGACTTTGGCCCAGTCACTTTCTCTCAGACCTCCCTACCAGTGTTGTTGTTGTGGGGAAAATAGGAGGAAGGAGGAGTATTCGATCTATTTGTGACCGTAGATTACTTGTAAAAACAATAAAGGTGGGATAAAAATGAATACTGAAAATCCACATTCTGAGAAGAAATGGTCTTGCTTTCCTCCTTATGTCCTTATAACTAAATTTGGTGGGTGGTGAATAAACTCATAATTCATTTAAACAATATTCCGTTAAATGTCGGACCAGAAATAAACCACAAGGTTCTTTGAAGGGGCTAGTAGTAGCTGATACAATTTCAACAACTTTTAAAAGTGCAGTGGTGTGTCCTGGACAAAAATGCATATGTGGTTGGAAAAGATGCTACAACAACATATTGACTTGAAACCTGAAATATTCCTGTTGGGGATTTTACCAGAAATTTATAGCAAAGAAAACGTATATTTGATTGTCCATGTAATAACTGTAGCTAGGATTGTATTTGCACAAGACTGGAAAAGCGAAGAGATCCCTACAGAGGAGAATGTTGCATTGTATTTGCACAATTAGGATAAATGAAGATTTATAATAAACCATGCAAGAACTGTGGGAACAGCCTCGCCCACTGGGACACACATTTAGCAACCCCATTTATGAGAAGTATTTAACAAGGTAGCATGGATTTTTTTAAAAAAAATAAAAAATATATGTATTAAATTGTGTTTGTGGATCATGTGCCTCTAGACTTAATTTGGAAAAACACCCATAGTTGAGGGCTACCTCGATGCACAGGTGGTTCTCACCTTACCACCATTTAGTGACTATTCAAAACGATGACAGTAATTTTTCACACTTACACAATCCTTGAAGCATCCCCATGGCCATGTAATCCAAATTCGGATGCTTGGCAACTGATTAATATTTTTGAGTCACAGAACCCCGGGATCATGTGATTGCCTTTTGCGACCTTCTCATAACCGAAGTCAATGGGGAAGGCAGAATCACTTATTAACAACCGTGTTATTAAATTCAGTTGCAGTGATTCTTGCCACTGTGGCAAAAAAATGTTGTCAAACAGGTCAAAACTCAACTTCGTGGCTTAGCCATGGGAAATTTGGGCTCCATTGTGGTTATAAATCAAGGACTACCTTTAAATGTTTTGAAAACAGGCAAATTAAATTTAAGGAGATTCAACGGTGAGAACAATCAATCCATGAAACAGAAGTTGCCTTCAGAAGTTGTGGGAGCTTCATCACTGGAGGCTTTCGAGAAGAAACTAGATTGCCATTTGTCAGAAATGATGTATGGTCTCCTGTCTGGGCAGGGGGTTGGACTAGATGACCTACAAGGTCCCTTCCAACTCTGTTAATCTGGATCTGTCAAATAGTTCCCAGGTTTTTATAAAACACACAGAGACAGTTTATTTGTTTATATATGGCAGTTGTCTTTATTGATTGCTTGATGTAAAACAGTATCACTTGGCAACTGGGTTTTTTTTTTTTTTTTGCACATTACAAAAGAAAAAAAAAATTGAACTGGCTCAGTCTGCAATCATTTTTAAGCACAGCCATATTAATTAACAAAACAAACTCCCCGCAGAGGCTAACAACATCAACAAAAATCCCCTACCAAATAAGAGCATTTACAAATGCACAAAAAAACCACACGCCACTTTGGCTTTCTGGGAAAATATCTTCTAGATTTAAAAAAAAAAAATCTTTTAACATAAATAAGTTAGTATAATTTCTCAGTGTCTTTACAGTTATGTACACAGGTACATTTCAAAACTTTTTTTTTTCAAAAAAAAAAAACAAAAACCCCCCCCAGAGAATGTAAAAAAAAAAAAAAATACTGTTTCCTTTTCATTTACCCACTTAATGAAGGGCCAGAAAAGTGAGCAAATAAGATTTTGGACNTAATAAAATCTAATAAAATCTAATATATATACAAAATGAATTTTGTTAGAGACATATATACTATAAATGAATATCATATTGCAGTTGCAAGAGCGGTAGTATTGTTGTTTGGATTGCTGTCGAGCTACATGGATATAACCTAAATTGCTTCATGACTTCCTGTAAAATGCCAAATAAGTTTATTAAAATATGCTAAGGACATCATCCTAAAATATTTAAGCAAAGTGAACTGATATAAGAATGTGTCTGATCACCTTTTGTGTTATGCTCACGTAAATTGGTTGTTAGTCTGATCAGAGCAGGATAAGATTAAGGATATTTTATTATGCCTCCACTGAACAACAATCATGTTGTTATGCTTCCAGTCTTTAAAGAGAATCCGAAGTGGAGTATGTTCTTTTCCAATAGGAACTTCAAAAATAGAGAATTTATCTTTAAAAGTCAGAAATGCTAACCTCTACACAAACAAATATAACATTATTTTTTCCTTCCCATCTGAGGCTATTTAGTTCTGCCTCGTTCTTGAGAATAACATTTGAGGGATCTGGAAAAAATTGATCTGGGAACCCTATTTTACAGTCAAAACTTGACTTCATATATTTTGACTAAAAAAACCTTGGTTGCTGCAGGTATAAGCTGAATATTTGTGTGCTGACAAAATGAAGTGATGGCAGTTGCACTCTTTGGGGTATTTTGCACTGAGTAAATTAATTTTGTATTGCTTGATACTGAAGACAGAGGATACTTAAAATACTGAACTTGTTAGAGAATGTATGGACTGCAGATGTATCTGACCAAAAAGCTGAAAACTCTACTGAGTTAGTGAAATGATAGCGGCATCATCTGCTGTAACTGAGATACCTTAGAACAGGGGTCTCCAACCTTGGCAACTTTTAGACTTGTGTACTTCAACTCCCAGAATTCAACTCCCAAAGTTTTGGGATAATTTTTTTGTATTTAAGAAAAAATAACTAATTTTTTTTCTCTGCATAATGCTTGACTCTTTGATTTGGAAATGTTGCACAAGATGTAGCTCACAGACCATTTTTGGATAAAGTGAATAAAAAATGCCTAGCTTCCAGTCCTCTAATTTTGGCTTTCAAGTCATTGTTTTCTAAACGTTAGTAAGAACATTAAGCACACAATTCAATAATTTGATACATGTCCTAATATACAATTTGTCTAAGTTTTTTTCCTTGTGGCTTTATTTTCAGCAAATAAGAATACTTGAGGTAGATAATGCTTGTTTAGCAACTTCCTTGGACATCAACCGTTCAGTTACAACACTGATTAAAAGTAATTTTACAACCAATTCCCACATTTATAACTTTTGCAGGGACTGACATGTTTTTGCCACTAATCAGTAGGCATTTTCCTGTGCCTGACCCATTTTTTTATTCCAACTCCCGAGCAGCAGAAAAATTACCTAAACTTCTTGAGCTGCTTTTTTCTGCAGCAGGGGGCTTCCCGAAAAATGTGCTAACCGCAAGTTAACAAGCTCACTTTGTGGGTTTATTTAATCAGAATCCATTTGCCAGCTTGCAGCTGCTGTATGAAATTGACCAGACCCTAATCAGTTTCACACTGAAAGCTTTTTTAAGCTCTTAAACTGCTGCAGCGGAATATGCTATGCAAACAGGTGCCACCACATTCCTTTTGATGTGTATTTGCCATTGTGTGCCTTATTCTTATAATCCCTTCCTCTCCAATGAATGTAAATAAACATTATTCCTCTTCTTGCTAATTATCGTAGTGTTGGGGTGAGCATTGCAAAGGGTGGGGGGAAAGCACTATATCATTTGCCTTTTACCTGACCTTCTAATGAGTTGAATTCTACATATTCTTCCATTTGTTCACATCTCTTTGGGTCTTATCTTTCTGATACTGTGAAGCAAAGGCGCAATCACGGTTTTTTACTAGCAACCACTTCATTTAATAGCCACGTTGCTGGTCCCAATTATGGTCACAAAATGAGGACTACCTGTTTAGCCCCTAGTTGCTTTTTTACTGGAAGCAAAGCTTTGGTAATTGTGATAAATATTGGAAATCAGGAAACTTGAGATTATTCCTAAAAAAAGGAAGACTACATTCTTATGTCCCCTTCATAGATTACTGACTTATCGTAGCAAAGCGGCTTGTGTAGCTCAATGAAGCTATGGGCTATGCCGTGTAGGGCCACCCAAGACGGACAGGCTATAGCAGAGAGCTCTGACAAAACATGATCCACTGGAGAAGGAAATGGCAACTCAATGGCAAGATTGGAATAGGTCAGTTTACATTCCAATTCCAAAGAAAGCAAATGCCAAAGAATGTTCAAACTATCGCACCATTGTACTAATTCCGCAGGCTAGTAAAGTTTTGCTCAAAATCCTACAAACTAGGCTCCAGCAGTATGTGGATCGAGAACTAACAGAAGTACAGGCAGGATTTCAAAGAGGCAGAGGAATTAGAGATCAAATTGCCAAAATACGCTAGATAGCAAT